AGGTAAGCGACTACCCACTCAAGACGCTTGTCTATAAAGGCATCACCTGCAACTGGCCTATACTTGTTAAATCTCCTGGTCCAAGATGGAGAAGAATATTCTTAATGATTCATCTCTCAGAAGGCCTACGACCACTCCCACTCTCAGAAAGGCATTTAATTACCACCTTGGCCCAGTCAGCAGTTACCACCAATAGCGTGAGGCATGTCAAAATCACATCTGAGAACACCTCAGATCAGGTAGGAAGACTGCTAGTCAGCAAGGCAGATGGTACCTCAACACTATCCGTAATGTGCCCCATTCATCCAACAGCAACCATGTGCAAATATTTTGATCAAGTGCTCAGAGATCACGAAAGGAAGATGAGTAAAAGTAGTTTAAAAACATTCTTGCAAGCCTATATTGGGATGACAGGTATAATTAATGCAATCTCTTTAACCAGATTTTTAGAAGAATTTTGTTATTTTATAATGTAATCCTAATATATCTAATTTGCTTCAATCCCCAATTTGTTTATTGATTATGAATCCCCAATTTGTTTATTGATTCAAAGTTTATTTATTATGAAGGTCCATACACATTTAGGAACTACCAAGTGATATCCATTTTATATTTTGGATAATGACTATAAGCATTTGCATGGTGATTATCTTGGACACAGACATGGAAGCACTTCTGTGAGTTTCACCATTTCCCCCTGCATTATGCAACATCCCAACTGACTTATGCTTTAAAATATCCTATGCAGATAAGATTATACATGCAAGCCCTTCGTTTAAGGCTAATATTAAGATCAGCCCAAGTCTCTCCCCATCATGGTTACATGGACTGGGAAGCTGCTACACAGATCAGTGATCTTATGGTAAAAAAACACCACTTCAGATATTATACAATAGATGGCATTCCCCAATGCAGATTAACAAGTTTTGTGTACAAAATTAACTAGGAAAATACTCTAAAAGCAGATTCCAGTACAGTCTTCAGGATCTATCTCTAGGAAGTATCCATGAAAACGTTCAGACAATGTCATTCTGTGCCACTTGCTCAAAAGCCACCCCAGGCACAGGGTGCATCCAATAATTCAACCCCCGCCCACAACACTTAATTTTATAAATAAATTTACGCTATGCAGTTTGGTCAACAAATCTTACCAAAAGCTGTGCCCACATTTTGTCATGTAAGCTTCTTCAATCATATCAAAGCAGATGGGGCTGGAACAAAGAGGGGAAAGGCGTGTAAGTAATGCATCACATACGTTAAACAGGCAACCTTTCCATTTACTGGAGATGGGGAAGAGAAGAGGGAGAGAATGAACAGCACCTAAGGAACAGTAAACAAATACCAACAGACACTGGCCTGGTTAAGCATAGTTAATGATGGTTTAATGGGAACAAGCAGCACACTAGTGCACACTGGTGAAATCGCAGACACTTTGCTGTTCCTACCTAGCTCCTGCCACATAAAGAAGGAAACTAGTCAAAGTCTGGCTTTCTATTGCATCAGAATCTGGGTTCGTTTCTCACTATGGCTTGCTTGAGCTTGAGAGCCAGTGTGGTGTAGTGGTTAAGAGCGGTAGTCTTGTAATCTGGGGAACCGGGTTCGCGTCTCCGCTCCTCCACATGCAGCTGCTGGGTGACCTTGGGCCAGTCACACTTCTTTGAAGTCTCTCAGCCCCACTCACCTCACAGAGTGTTTGTTGTGGGGGAGGAAGGGAAAGGAGAATGTTAGCCGCTTTGAGACTCCTGAAGGGGAGTGAAAGGCGGGATATCAAATCCAAACTCCTCTTCTTCTTCCTTCCAGACACATAAGCAGCAGCAAGGGAGAAGCAGGGGGGGGATTAAAGCACCACAATTTATTTTGAACTATGGTTTAATGTGGTGTGCAAACCAGCCCATTGTTAAAGCCTATATCAATTTATTTGGAAACCATTGAACTGTGCTGAAACCAAACAGCTGATTCAAATAATCTCATGTGCAACAACTTTAAAAACCTTCCCAAAAAATGGCATAAAAGCAGTAAATGCAATAGTTCCACCTAAAGTATTCTGCTTAAATATGTTGAGATGTAAGATATATCTGGAATAATATATCTGGAATGATATTTGAAATTACATAAATCAAAAGGCACCTTTCATTGGGAATTGAACTTCAAAAAGATTAAGTGGCGGAGTTAGCAAAATATCTTCACTACTTCCTAGGCATTTTCTTCTCAAATTCACTTTGCCTCCACAACAATCTTTTCATCCTCCAAAGTGGCACTCTAGAACTGGAATATGGCTGCCACTCTCTCTGTGATGGCTCCAGTAAGTCATATCACAGCTTTACCATCCCTGCCTGCCTCCTGCCTTCTAGTAGTCTGCAAGAGGTGCCAGCTGCTCCCATACCCAAATCTCTTCCACTGTTGCCACCTGCCTTCTTAATAATAATAATAATAATAATTTATTACGGCCGTAGGCCCATACAGATAAAAACAAGACATAAATAACAGCCTGTGCACATGGGAAAAAAACAGCCGCTAAAACACTACTATAACAATAAGCTACTATAAGATGGAATGGCATACTACGCCTTAATTAGCTTGTGGTGCTCCTTGGCAACGCTTTTGGGTAAGGACAGCGACCAGGAACCTAGCCACTTTCAGGGTCGTATGGGCATCCTTATCCTGCAAGATTTGGGCAAGGTGGAATTTTGGTGGAGTACCCTCTAATTTCTGTATGATTGATCCCAACAAGTTTGCCCGTGGCACCTTAAATAAGGGGCAAGTGAACATAATGTGCTGAAGCGACTCCGGCATCTCCTTATCACATTCGCACATGGCGGAGGTTTGGCCCTTTGAGAATCTGTGTCTCAGGACATTGGAGGGAAATACATTAAACCTCGCTTTGGTGAAGGCCAGCCTATGGGCAACAGTCGAAAGGGAGGAGAGGTATGATGGAACGCAATAAGTTAAAGTGATACCAATGTTCTGGGGCGAACAAACACCTCCCCCCAGCATATAATTTTGCTGTAAATCAATGTCATCCAGTCTTTGGCGGATCAGTCTTTGAGCAGTGATTTGATCTAGTTTTAGGGAATCTAAGGGAGAGATTCCATAGCTCAGGAGTTTGGCATGAATTCTACTGGTCCAAAGGCTGGGGAATTCATCTCGCCATAAGCATTGGGCAAGGTAATGGTCTGGTAATCTATGCCACAATGATAACCAATAATTGAAGACTTGCTTCCACAGGCAGGTTTCTAAGGATGCGATCCTCAATTCTAAACGCATGGCTGCGTTGCTTACGCACAGGGGGAGCATTAGGAGCCGACGTAGGAATTGGTTTTGCAAAGTCTCAAGAGGAGCAAGTCACCTGCCTTCTTACAGGCCAAAGTTGGCTTAGCAACTTTCAATGAGGGATTTTGTCAAAAGCTGTATGAAATCCCAAGTATAAAATGTTTATCAAATTGTCTTATCTACATACATGAGTGCGATCCTTCTAGAATATTTCACATCTTCTTTAACAGTGTTGAGAAGGAGAGCCCACAACTAAGTCTCAAGCCTCACAAGTTAGGAAAGGTCAAAAGGGTGCATCAATCTCTTTTCGTGTATCAATCCTCAAAGTAGAAACATAATGTTCACAGTATTTGTCCTAAGAACTCTAGAATGAAACTCAAGACTCCAGATCGTTTTTGGTTAAAAGCCAGATTCAACAACAACAACAAATAGTATTTGAACTAAAACTGCATAGACTATTTTCCTCTAGAAAAGGAACAGCAAAAAACTGCCCACCCCCAAGATAAACAAGTATTTCTAAGACAAAGGTAGCAGTCACTTCAGTTTTCATACTGTCTTAAGAGAAAGTAAGCATGGAGATCCAAGCAATCTTTTGCTTCACCCTGCCCTGTAACCTAAAGAAACTTACTGAATTCCACACTACATCTTCTGCCAGGACAGACAGAAGTCACCTACTGCCCTAGGCTACAGTCCTGCCAGTGCCATATAAAATATAACCTTACAGTCAACATTACCTAGGTCTATTTCACTGACTACACAATGTTTTCTGAATGTGTTAATAAGGCTTCAGTTTTAGCTAAGTAAATTTTTAGCTAAAGAGATTCTGACAGATCTTCTCTTACTGGTTTTATCCTTATGCATGAAAATGGAAGCCTATGATCTACTTCTCCAAGAGCTGGGTGGATAGAGAATAGAAGCTGGCAGGGTTGTAAGTGGTATTTATTTTTTATAAATATTTTTATTCAAAGATTTACAAAACAGTGTTCGTTACTAAGGAATTTATCTGTATAACAAGAAATAGAGAAACACCATAAACTGTTGTACATCCTAAAGTCTTTCCAAACAGTTTTTCGAAATCACCATGTTTCAGTGGAGGAATTGTAGTGTGGCTCGATTTATTCACATAAGAAATAAATAACAACCCAAGCTGAGGAGCACAAAGAAGGTTTTGATTAAAATCTTGCCAGTTTCCTCAAATCCTTTTTGCCAAAATTAGCTATAGAGCAACCCCACAAGCTACTTGTGCATTACAGTCCTTCCAACTTTCCAACAGCAGACCTGTCTTTTTCAAATCTGGGGCATGCCTCAGTCACCTACATAGGAGAGATGAGTTCAAGGGTGCTGAACTTTTCCCTTACCTGGTTGCAATCACAGCCATAACTACAAGCAAATAAACTGTACAGAACACAGCAGATTTTGCTTTTAAGAGAACATGTAAGTACATAAGGTACTAAATCCCCAGTTCAAAGCACTCCTCAGCCATGAACACATAAAGGCAACATGCCCCTATCCCTGCGCATTAAGGAAAAAAACAGCTCTGGTTGCATTGGAACAAAGGCCTACCTGGTCCCATCCTCAAAGCTCAATTCAACACTGACCTACCTCACACGGCTGTTATAGAGATTCTGCGCATTTGGGCCCTTTCTCCTGAGGGCTCAGCCCTCCACACGCGCTCATGTGCAGAAGGCTTCCTTCCGATAACCTTTCATAGCAATCCCTCTGCAAGGTAGGGACTGGTGACCGAGGCACACTTTGAAGGCTTGGGAGATGAGTGTGAGGCTCTTAACCTCAGGGTTGCGGGTTCGATTCCCACCTTGGGCAGGTGGTTGGACTAGGTGGCCCTCGTGGTGCCTTCCAACTCTACAATTCCACGAGTTTATGCTCTGCATCAGTGTGCACGTGTGCAGCCGCTGTTGTTATTATTACTAGCATCCGAATCAAGTCGTTTTCTTACGGTCAGTGGCCAGGACCAAAACAAAACACCAACTGGAGACTTTGAAAGCTCAACACAAAACAGAATAATATAAAGACACCACGACATGGAAGAGCCGTTCTGGGTGGGCATTTACCTGTCCGAAAGGAAACCCTTCTGGCCTGGGAGCGTCGCTGCTAATGGGGATTTCTCGGCTATCCCCGCCGCGGCTTCTCGCCCTCCCTCCCTCCCTCCCCGCCCGACTCACCACACGAAGTCGTTGCTCTTGTCCTCGTAGGAGTTCAGGAGGCCGTTGCAGAGCGGGGTGAGCAGCGGCCTCTTCCTGCTGCCACTCGCGCCGCCCGCCGCCGCCGCCGCGCCGCTCCCCGAGGCCCCGGCCCGGGCCGCCCCGGCCAGCCGCGAAAGCCCCCCGCCGGAGGAGGAGGAGCCGGAGACCACGGCGGCCACCAGCACAGGCCGCGCGGGGGCCCCCAGCCCCGCCGGGGCGCAGGAAGAAGAGCCCGGCGCCGCCGAGGAGGCCGCCGCGGAGGCCGAGGTGGTGACGGAGGAGGCTGCGGAGGAAGAGGAAGGTCCCGGGGGGGCCGCCGCGGCGCCAGGCCCCGGCGCGGGAGTCGAGTGCTGCTGCTGCTGGGGCGGCGGCGGCGGAGGCGGCTGCCGGCTCCCGGACATCCCGAGGCCTGTTGGGCTCGACGGGTCGCCCGCCCGGTTCAGTCAGCGCATCATTTCCCCTCAGCACGGGCGACTGTCTACGGGGAAGGAGGGGACAATAAAGTTTCAACAACGAAAATAAAAACTCTCGCTCGGCGACGCCGCCGACGCCTTCCCTCCGCCCCTTCCACTCCGTGTGCGGGAACCTGATTGGTTCCCGCGGGCCGCCTCCCCTTCCAACCCAGAGATGGAGGGGGAGAGGGACGCGGGAGAGGAATCTGATTGGTTCCTGGACGCCTCCCCTCCCCTCCCGGGAAAAGAGGAGGCGGGGAAACCACCTCGTTGTTGAAACTTTATTAACAAGCGCGCGTCGGTTGACAAAAAGCATACTACCAACGTCGCCAGTCGGCTTGCGTTGGGTTTTTTTCCCTTCCTGTCAGAAAGCGCAAGGCGACGCGCCTGCGCACAAGGAGCGAAAGGCTGGGTAGCCTAGCAACCGGAGCGGGCCTACCAAACCACCCGCCTCTGCTGGAGTTGGTTAAGCCCCCGACTGACCCCGAAGAAAAGCGGGGCTGCTGCAGGAATCTCAACCCCATCGCTAGATGCAGTAGCTTCAGCTGCATCCGTACGAGTCTCGCTGACTCTGTTTCGGAAGCTCTGTGTGTGGATCATTCTGTTTCATTTCTACCCCGCTTTCCCCCCTGATAGGACGGGACTTCCAGATTTTTTTAAAAAAGAGCGAGAAAAAAAATAATTGCTTAAAACATAAGGGGGAAATACAATTAAATATTGGTAGATTCGAAGCTTTTTATATTAAATCTATATATTAAAGTCAGGCAAATAATAATAATAATTTATTATTTATACCCCGCCCATCTGGCTGAGTTTCCCCAGCCACTCTGGGCACCTCCCAATTGAGTCTTAAAAACAATACAGCATTAAATATTAAAAACTTCCCTAAACAGGGCTGCCTTCAGATAGGATAGCTGCTTATTTCCTTCACATCTGAAGGGAGGGTGTTACACGGGGTGGGCGCCACTACCAAGAAGGCCCTCTGTCTGGTTCTCTGTAACTTGGCTTCTCGCAGGGAGGGAACTGCCAGAAGGCAGAAGGCGCTGGACCTCATTATCCAGGCTGAACAATGGGGGTGGAGGCGCTCCTTCAGGTATACTGGGCCGAGGCTGTTTAGGGCTTTAAAGGTCAGCACCAACACTTTGAATTGTGCTCGGAAACGTACTGGGAACCAATGCAGATCTCTCAGGACCAGTGTTATGTGGTCCCGGCGGCCACTCCCAGTTCCCAGTCTAGCTGCCGCAATGATTCCCAAATCATTGCAATATAAAACAGCTGGGCAGCAGTCCTTCCATTGGAAGCAGTCAGAAGCCCCTTGGAACAAAGAGGGTCTCCCACCTGCTCTGGGAAGGACAAGGAGAGAGAGAGATCCGGTCTAGCTTCTCCAGAGAAGGGAGTTCCAGAGTCTGGGAGCAGCCACTGGGAAGGCCCCTTCCTGGGTGCCTGAGAAGGTGGCAGGACCAAGAGAAGGGACTCCCAGCGTAGCAGCATCCATCCTCAAGGAGGAGATGGCGGCACCTCCAGTCCTCCGCTGCCGAAATATTCTCACCCTTTTTGACAGGGTTCCTGGTCAGGGATACAGTGATACAGGCTTTCCCCAGGAAAATCTTCCGCTTTCACATTCTTGCCTCCAGCCTATGGTTAAATGCACCAAAACCCTGCCGTAGGAAAAGGTTAAAACCCTATGTATCGTATCGATTGCTGATAAGAAATCTCCAATGTTATATATGCAATTGGGGCAGGTCAAAGACATTTTTACCTAATCCAAATAACAGCCTCCTCTTCAACTAATTAATAAGAGACGCTATCTACTCCAAAGTTCCTCAACACAACTGTCGTCAAAATGATCAGTAATGCCCTTTTGCAGTTTCCATGCATCTTGGTAGACCAAGGTAACCTTCCAGTGGCTTGTGCCTTTGAGTCAGCTCTGTCTGTATCGCACCACAGCTCTTAGTGATGCCAAAAATCCTAAGCCCCTTCCACATTACTTCATGGTAAGGCTAGGGCTACCATCTGCACCTTTTTAGCTGAACCATTCCTATTGAGTCTATAGAGTGTCTGGCAATTTCACTATCATATTGTTACAGGATTGAAGGGCTTGGTTGCTTGGAATGAAATCTGTGGATCCCTTCCAAGCCAGTGGTTTTGTATTTTATCTGTAAGATGGGAGTCTATAGCAGAAGGAACTGCTGAAACAGTCAAGCCAGTCTCTTTGTTAACTCAGTGGTCCAGCCTGTTAAGCATCCTTTTAATATGTCTAAAGAGCTGGTTAAATACAGCTAGATTCTCATAGAAACAGCTAGCTAGTGATGCTTCCCAAAGAAGGGGGCAGTCCTTACCCCCTCACCTGGCTGGATGACAAGTCCTTGGAGTAGGAGAATAATAGGCCAGTGGCTAGCCTTTGGCCAATCTCACCCATCCAGCTGTGAAGACACAGGTGCTTGGCATGTTCTCTTCTGCAACCAGAACTGTGGCTTTGCATTAGAGGTAGGTTGGTCTGCTGTAGTTGAAACAAAATAAAAAAATTCCTTCCAGTAGCACCTTAGAGACCAACTAAGTTAATTATTAGTATGAGTTTTTGTGTGCATGCACACTTCTTCAGATAGTATCTCATACCAATAACTAAGTTAGTTGGTCTCTAACTAAGGAATTTTTTTTATTTTGTTGTGGCTTTGCATGGCCTTGGAAGGAGGCCTTCCTGGGGGAGCAAGAGCTTTGTGAGGCCTCCCTGGGAGATCTGGATCTGTTGCAAGTGTTAATGCTATGAGCTCTTCCATCTTGTGCTCAAGTTGTATAAGGAGCTATGTGTTGAAATGCCCATGTTATAGTTGAATAAGTTAGTTATAGTTATAACCTGTTATAGTTAAATAAACCCCCCTAATTTTGTAAAACAAAAAAGCAAATTGCTGCATTCTGAACTTTTAATTTTTTCAGGACACAGTAACATAGGAGAAGACCACCATCATGTGAATATTAAGGGAGACAGGCACCTCTTTCACTACAATGTCACATTTTTTGCTGTTGACAGAATGGGCTCGTCCACACTTCCGCTTGTGCCTGTGCCTAGAAAGCACAGGCCCGAGTGGTCTTCCCCTTGCCCTGCTCCTTTCCAAGGGAAAACCCACTCTTTACCTATAGATTGGAACAAATGGCAATCCAGGGGGAACCCGAATTGCCGTTTGTTCCAACTGAGCGCTAAAAAGCTGTTTTCCTTGGGGGAAAGCTGTGGGACAAGGTGAAGTGTGGAGAAGCCCAATGTCCTAATATCTCCTGGAGTAATCTATGTGCCCTGGTGGACTCAAGGACACTGATTTTCATTCAATCCCAGTAAATCTTGGAGAAGATGGCAAAGCTTTGGTCTCCCCACCCACCCTGGAGGGAATACAGAGCCAGCCCTTCCATAGGCAGAGTAAGGCAACTGCCTCAGGCAGCTGATACTACAGGGAAGTTGAGGTAATTTTAATCCGTTTTATTATTTTAAATTGCTTATATCTTAAAGTAGAGTTGTATTTCCCCCCCTTGACGCTACTGTTTTATGTTTTGTAAACTGCATTGAGAGGTGTTTTTTTGCAGTCAACGGGTGCATAAGTTTGACAAAATTAAAAATAAATAAAGAAGATTGGTGGCAGGATTACTACTGATTATCATTATTCTTTCTCTCCGCTAGAGGGCAGACTTTGCTCAAGAAAGAATAAGACTAAATAAATAAACAAATCAATGAGCAAGCAAACAATATCTGGACATGAAAATGGAAGAGTTTTAAGGTTGCGGGAGAGGCAGGGTAACACAGCCATGAGACTGGGCTCAATCCAATTCAATCACTTAAAATGAAGGGGATCTTAAAGGGTTCTTATAATATCCTCTCCCCCCTTAAAAAAAAAATGGACTGTTCACAACCTGCTGAAGAAGGGTCTCTCAGCCACTTGTTTTAAACTTCAGAGGTGTTGATGTTGATCTAGGGAGGCAAAAGCACGAAAGAATCCTTCAGCACTTGTTAGCAAAAAGCTAACAAATCTATTGTGTAATGAGCACCGTGAGTCTTTGCAGGGACCAGTCCCTGGCCAGCCTTGCCTTGGGGGAATAAGATGCAGGCCAGCAGGCATGGTCAGATGATGTGATGCACTGCCCCTGGAGGCAAGCTCAGGAGGACTATATAAGACTTGCATTTCACTGTGGGTTTTTGCCACAGCAATGTGGTTTCATGCTATGCTGTGGTCTGCTCCTGTGTTCCAGTTATCCTGCATCCTGGCCTCCTCTGGTCCCTGATCTCTGTTGGACTTGCTCCTGACTGTGGACCCGCCACTTGGACTGCTACCACCACCCATACCCTGGTCCTGGTGTCGGACCTGGACTCTTTGCACCCATGCCCTGGATCGTGACAGCATAAGCTTTTGTGGCCCAGTTTGGTCACTGTAGGGTGCCCTACTTGACCCTGGGCTCAGCCTAAACTATCTTAGAGTTACTTTGAGGATGAAACAGAAGGGAGGGAGCATGTCTGCTGACTTTAGTTCCTTGAAGGAAAAGCAGCAGCAGGCGGAGGATGTTGTGTATTACATTTGTAGTTGCTGTATACTAAAAAAAACAAAAAAAAGCAACACTGCAAGATAAGCTGAAGGCAACAGATATTTGTTTCTTTACCTCTGTGTGCGCAAGCAAATGCAATTTGCACACAGAGATGTCTTCCTTGCTACAAGTGGGAGTTTTCCTTCCCTCCCTCCAACTCTGAAAAGGCAGAAGAACTCTCATGGCCCAGCATTCAGCCCCACTTGTGCCTTGGCTTGCTGTGTGGCAAAATACTGGCTTCTACAAAGAGGTAAACATTGACTGTTAGGTGCAAAAATGTCCAGTTCTGGGACTGTGTTTACTTGTATCTTGGGCTACATGGCTGCAGTCTTCTAGGTGGTCTGTCAGTGCCTTGGTCATTTTAGGGTGCATTTCATGCCCCCTGCTTCTAATGAGAGATGTACAGATATAGCCCTTTCAGTGCTGATCAGTTGGTGTTGGGCTGTACATCAACCACATTTCAGCTTTCTGAGTGGCCTGGCAGGGTAGTGCTATAATACTTCTTGTCCCTCATTTCTAGAGATAGACTTCGAAATGGTCTCCTTTCAAACGGTTTTAATGATAAGAATTATGTGTATTCCGGATTTCTAGGTGGTCTAGAAATAAGCATATGGGACAAGCTTTTAACTCTTTCAGTTTGACACACAAATATCTAGATGGGTATTTCAGACCCTCCAAGTGTCCCTATTTTCCAGGGACGTCCCTGATTTAGAGAAGCCGTTCTAGTTTCTGATTTGATTCCAGAATGTCCCACTCTTCCTTAGGATGTCCCTATTTTTATTGGAGAAATGTTGGAGGGTATGGTAGGATGTCCTTATTTTCACTGGAGGGTATGGAGTTATCCAACCCGCGAGCTGTCTGAAGGCAATCCTATATAGGGAAGTTTTTTTTAAAAAAAGAAGTTTAATGTTTCATTATGTTTTTATATATGTTGGAAGCTGCCCAGAGAGGTTGGGGCAACCCAGTGAGATGTGTGGGGTAGAAATAGTAAAATTATCATTATGGAATGGGACGTCCCTATTTTCATTGGAGAAATGTTGGAGGGTGTGGTATTTATAAGCTGAGATAAGACAAACTTCTAACAAGTGCTCTATAAGAGCTTGAGGGACGTGGGTGGTGCTGTTCAGAAGGTCAGCAGTTCAAATCCCCGCGACGGGGTGAGCTCCCATTGCTTGGTCCCTGCTTCCTCCAACCTAGCAGTTCGAAAACACATCAAAGTGCAAGTAGATAAATAGATACCACTCTGGTGGGAAGGTAAACGGCATTTCCATGCGCTGCTTTGGTTTGCCAAAAGCAGCTTAGTCATGCTGGCCACATGACCTAGAAGCTGTACGCCAGCTCCCTTGGCCAGTAAAGCGAGATGAGCGCCACAACCCCAGAGTCGGCCACGACTGGACCTAATGGTCAGGGGTCCCTTTACCTTTACCTATAAGAGCTTGGCCACTTTGGGAAGGGGGCTGTGGATAGAGCCCCAGCTATTGTGTGAAAGTGAACTAGTCCCTGCCTCATGCTTGTGAATCACTGACAAATTCTTGATTAGGCAGAGAAGCGGAAGTTGGTTTGGTGGCCATGGGCAAAAGAGGACTGGGCTCCTGCAACTTTGCAGAGAAAAGGGGCTTTACAGCAGGTATAGCTTGCAAGACAGTTCTTCACAGTGCCTCTTTTGCATCTAACAGCCACCCTAATTTCCATGCCTGCAGAATTTCAGGACCAGAGAATTCTGAATGGCAAGACTGCTTCCTCCTCCCTTCTCCTTCAGAGACCTCTAACCTGCCCCTGAACACTAGGAAATTAATTTGTACTCTGAATCAAGCTTTTTCTTTTTTTTTAAGAGAGTTCATGGTTGTTGGGAAAAATATACCTAGCTATCCTGTTCCATAAAATACTCAGGCATTTCTGGCACCATAAAGTCCTATTGAACGAGCACACTGACTCCTGCAAACTCCCAGTTCTTCAAAATGAAAGTCTGGCTCCTGACCCTAACCCATGATTAGTCAGAAGAAAGTCCCACTCCAGCCTGCAATCTGGTGGTGCCACCTCTTACAACCTCTGCTCCTTCATCTTTTAACAACACAACACATGGACTTCTTTGCTAGGTTAGATCAAGGTAAGAATGGACAAATCTGAGTTTTGGGTTCTCTCCATTTCTCATTTTTCAAGTCTTGCATTCAGTTCTCCATATTCCTACAGCAATTCACTTTTTAAAAAAATCCTCAAAAATCCATCAGCATTTTAGTGCAAATCTTTCCTAATGAACTCATTTTTAGTATAGTTTTTTCACTGATGTACACTTTTTTGCAAGCAGTTTCCCCTTGTATAAAGCATTAACAGGCATACATAATAAAATGTATCCCCTAGATAGGGGTCATTCTAGTCCAGCATTCTGTTTCCAACATTGGGTCAAACATACCTTTGGAAGTTTACAAAGAGGACATGAAGGTAATGGCCTCATCCAACAATGGGTATGCTACCTCTGGACGTGGAAGTTCCACTTAGCTATGTCTCAGTGGGGTGAAGCCAGCTCAGGGCACAGGCTGATGCATGGTCAGGTAGGGAACACAGTCTGTCTGGTAGCTCAGATCGAGCTTGATGAACAGGGGACAAAGCTAAAAGCAAGGGCTCTCAGCCAAGCACAAAACAGCTTGCTTGCTTGCTTCACTCCTCTCAGTAGGAAGAGAGAGGAGAGGGGCCCTTAAAGTTCAGACCCAGGCCCTTTGACCAGCCAGGTTTATTGAGCTATCCTCATGACTGACAGCTAATTCAGGAGGCGATGCTTTTCAAAGAAATGGGTAGAAATGTTTTAGCAGACAAAATCTCTGTTTGTCAGACTGCTGTGAAAAATAGGGGAACAGCTTCAGGAGTCCCAGGAATGTCACACTGAAGACATTTCTGTTCAGAAGAGAACAGCTTTATTTTAGTCTAGCTACTCAAAATAATTGAGCAAACATGGCAAACATCTGGCACCTCTGGACTCAGGAAGCTCCAAAAGGGCAATGCTAATATGCTTCCTTTCTGCATGCAAAAGTGGGCCTTTTTCTCTTGGTCTCAAATGCATAATGTGCAATGCAGCCACCAGAAGTACTTGCCCTCTTTGGGTTTTTAGGGGCACTGCTGCTTGTTCAAAGAAGGGCAATTTAGAAGGCAGATACGTAATTAAGTTTGCCTCCTCTGTCAAAGGAATAATGAAACCCAGTCGCTATTCATCATCTTTTCCTTGAAAGCACGCAAAGGCTAAGCACCTCTGGCCCTTGTGAACTGCTGGAGAAGCTTGACAGGATGTGATAAACCAGTCAATCAAATACACTGCTCTTAGGCAAGAGGGGCTTCAGTGGTGCTCAGGAGTGCTGGGCCGCTACGCCAAGTGTTTTTGTGCTTCTGTATGTATCAGCCAACGGGCATGGAACAAGGAAAGTTGGCCCAGCCTGTTGTGCAACCTCCTGAAAGAGGTTTCCCAAGGGGCATTCCTGTGAAACTGAGTACACTGTAAAAGCTGCCAAGCCCACCTCTCACTGAGGTCCAGTTTGTTTTGGACAATCTTCATTTGTCATTCAGAAGCCCTCATCTGCACGGGCCTCTAGAGAAATCACATCTGCTCTGCCACACACCCCGCTAGGCCTGTCAGGGAAAAAGTGAGTGAGAACCAGCTTCAGAAAAGGGAGGAAAAAGTTGGGCGGGGGGGAGCAAAGATTGCTTTGGAAGGACACAGGAACATAGGAGCTTGCTGAATGTAGCCAATAGCCCATCTAGTCTAGCATCCTGTTCTCAATGTGTCAACCATATGCCTATAGGAAGCCCACAAGGACCCAAGTGCAACAGCACTCTCCCAGCTCGTGATTCCCAACAACTGGTATTCAGAGGCAGTGGATGTAGAGAACAACCATTGTGACCAGTAGCTGTTGATGGACAACCATAGATAGTGGATTCTGGTTCTGCAATGCACTCTTATATAAGTCACCAAACACTTCCTCAAAGAAAAGCCTGAGCTCTTGGGTAATGGGAAGGGAGCTGCCAAGAACACATGGGCTGGGCCTGAATTTCAGGATCAAGACCTTGGGGGCTGGGAGCTTGGGAAGAAAGTGGGGCAGAAGGCTGCACGAACCCTCACTACAGGTTTCTGAAAGAAACTGCAGGGGCTTCTCATGCTGAACTTGCCAGGGAGCAGTTGGCTCCATAGGACTCTAGTAGCTGTAAGTCACATGTGGCATTCTTGGGAATAATGGGAAGCTAGCATCCCACCTCCAAGTACTCTCCACGCAAATGCCACCCTGTGCTTTGGGCCATCCCTTGTTTGTCCTTTTGACAGTCATAGAATCATAGAATTGTAGAGCTGGAAGAGTCTTCTCAGGAGTGAGCCAGCAGTAAATCACACTGTTCAAGTTGGAGTTAACTCTTTCTTAGCAAGAACACAATCTGCACAGACTTGGTTGAGAGTCAGACCTAATGAACACAACAGCTCATCCCCAGTAGGTCTCACCCCATTAATCAGTTGCCAAGACTGAATGTCCCCGCCATCCCACATCCTTGCTCTCCATGGCTTTCTCCAAGCAATCAGAGACTGTGCCTGCATGAAGCCAACTTCTCCTCCACTCTTTACAAGCCTCTTTTGGTTCTGGGAGACAAGGAGGGAGGGATGTTTGTCGCAGCAGGAGGGGGAGACGCCTGTTACTCTTCACCAGCATGACTCCTCTCTGCCTCTTGGCCTCCCTCTTCCCCTGCTTCAGCTTCTCCCTCTGATTCCGGACTTCTATCTTCCACAGACTCTCCCAGCTTACTAAGCCTTGTTCCCCCTTCAGCTTCTGACACCTCCTCTTCCCCACCTGACCAGTCATCATCATCCCACCACCACCACTCCCCAGGCTCTGATCCTTCTTCCCTTGGGGGTCCCCCAGCTGGTTCCTCCCAGCATTCCTCCGTGTCCAACCAGTCCATGCCAGGTCTCAAAGGGTCATCTATTCAAACCCCCTGCAATGCAGGAATCACAGCTAAGTCATCCCACTCCCATGTGTTCCTCACATCCCGTCTTCTAGCAGGCTGTGAGAATCTCATCTGGGTGACTCTGTCGCCAACATCTGAAAGCTAGAGAAAGACAAATGAGCAGCACCAGAATTCCTTCCTGATCTTTGCTCATGTGCGTAAGCCCCAGTGACGGAGCTTCATGCTCCTGCACTGGGGGCAGGGCAGGCGCACGTCCCGGGGGAGTGGCGTGCTACCTGTGGGGGCGTGGCACCCAACGTGGGCAAGGGGGGCAGCTGCGATGGCACCCCACTGGGATCACGCTGCCGGGGGCAGTTTCGCTCTCCCCACACTCCTCTTCCTCCTCCGGTGGTAAGCCCTTCCCTTAAAAACAGTGCCAGAGATACCTATTAAGCTGTTGCTGTAAGGAGGGGTTGAAAATGAACAGACTGGACATACATGGCTGTATCCAAATAACTCCTTGTCAGAGAAGGCCTACTGAAATTAATGGACAAATTAGCTATGCCCATTGATATCAGCTGGTCTATTCCTACTTAGAGTTGTTTGGAGCCAACTCAGAGCGACTTATCATTATATTTTCTGAAAAGCAGCTGGGAGGGGACAGACTGTTACTCAGTTTTACTCAGTTTTGCTTATTTTTATTTCAAAACTCAATGAAATCATTACTGGGGGAGCAGAGAAGAGCGCTGGACCAATCAATTTCCAAAATAAAAGGGAATAACATATGTCAGAGAGGTGGAAAACATCACATTTACTCTTGAAAAATGAATCTGTGTTGTCACTAGTGATGGACCAGCATCTTGCACCGCACCTGAGGGCAGTAAGCTAACACACAGCACACACAATTCTGCCCTCCAACATTTTGCCACCACTCCTTATCCCCCCCCCCTCAATATAGATCACCTTAGGTGGCTGCCTCACTATACCTAATGGTAATGCTAGCTTTGGCAAAGGTGGGACAGGACTTTCATCATGTATAGAAAATGGAATTTTGGCTGGTGCAGCTTGCTATGCAAGGAAGAGCAAACCTTAATGCTCTTTGATGCACTTGCTAAAGGTACCTATTTATCTGGTCAATCAGGTGCATTGCCTGCAGAGAAAGGAGATGGGCAGTGGAAAAATAGAGGTAGGGAGACACTGGGCTCATTGGAGAACTTCCAGATACGGCTCACAAGATACCTACGGAGACATTTTCAGACCACATCCTGTTGAAGTGTGCTAATCTCATAATCTGACATTCTTTTAGGTCAACTCTCAAAGAACATGGTGACTCTGGCCCTTTGAAATCCCTGAGCAGGGTAGGGATTGAGAAGATGAAACTCTGTTTTTCATCTGTGTCCACCCACTGCATGAGACTGGTAGAGAAATCCTTCTGAAACAACTGTTCAGGCAGGTGTTGCGTATATATTGCTTATATATTGGAGAGCCAGTGTGGTGTAGTGGTTAAGAGCGGTAGTCTCGTAATCTGGGGAACCGGGTTCGCGTCTCCGCTCCTCCACATGCAGCTGCTGGGTGACCTTGGACTAGTCACACTTCTTTGAAGTCTCTCAGACCCACTCACCTCACAGAGTGCTTGTTGTGGGGGAGGAAGGGAAAGGAGAATGTTAGCCGCTTTGAGACTCCTGAAGGGGAGTGAAAGGTGGGATATCAAATCCAAACTCTTCTTCTTCTTCTTCTTCCAGCAGCATGGTGCAACTCTTATTGTAATGATACAATCTAAGAAGTTTTGCCACATGGCCAGCCTCTTAATTACTTAGAGGTTCTTGCAAGAGATCAATTATTCTGTTTATTGACCAACTTAAATTACATTAGTAAAGTGCACAAGATACACACTGCGAACGTACTGGAAGAACAGGAAAAGGAGCTCCCACTTTGGTCATCTTTTTTAGCCTTAACATTTAGCAACAGGAGCTATGTTCATGTTTGTGCTTAAAACCTGCTTATATTGGCTGGGTCAGGAAAAGGAGCTTAAAATTCTATTTTCTAGATGCTGGCAGATTAGATCAACAGAGTGTTTTACACACAGGCCCAACTACATTTGTTCAATCAGGTGGATGGCATCCAAAATTACAAATCTAGAA